GATCGGAAGGCCTGGCCCAAAACACTGCTTCCTACTCCAACCCCGCGTTTCTGACCAGGGGTCCGTAGGAAGCATGCTTGCCGCTCTTCTCCGACTCGCGCGTCCAGAACCGACTGGGGCCATCCGACCGCGGTCGCCCGTTCGGAAGGAACCAGGGCCGAACGGAAAAGGCAGCACACAAGCCAAACCACGATACCAGGGACCATACCCTGTACGCCTGCGGGAATAGTGCTCCACAACCGCCCTGACACAAACAGTATTGTAGGCGCCGTTGGACTCCCGTACGACAAAAAGCCCCCCACATGCCTCTGGGCATCGATAGTGGGCGCCAGGATTCATCATACCTGGTACACATGGTAGGGTTCCTCACATACCGATAGTATTTTGCAGGTACCAACATCCACCTTTTCTGAAGAAGCCAACGCATCCTTCCATGTGCACCTGACATTCTACAGTGACATCAACAGTATTGTGGGCGCCTACCATCATCGCTACCCTCGTCGGCGTGGGCAACAAGGCTTAGAAACATCCGTACTCTCTTCCTCTCACCTGTAAAGCCATCCCCTTTATCTATAAAAGGGGATGCACTCCCTCCAACGAAGGAGGTCGACTTCAAGTTAAGATTCACTAGATCGATAGCTCACGGCCCCTCAAGCACACGCTTAAAACACCTAGCTCATAGCGGAGTTCCGGTCGCCCTCGGCCCTTCCGGTCGGACCCGACCAGGCCTCTCGTACACCCCACCTTTCTCCTTCTTGTTTGTAACCCCACTACAGACTTCGAGCACCTAGGCTCGGGAATAAAGTCACCGACCGACCCACACTGGACATAGGACACATTGCCTAAACCAGTATATATCCTGTGTCATTGAATGCTAAGCCACATCCGATCACAACGTACAGCAAAACTACAAATATTCACTAGTTAGTCACTTTCTGTACGACATGTTGCAATTGATCACTTGACTCATGTGATGAGCTATCATTTTTTTAAGTTTCTTTGAAAACACTTTTAATGAGAGAAGCATGTTGTTTTAATAATTCTTCATGAGATGCAAGTAGTGTCTCATGAGTCAATGTTAGCTCACCATGTGAAGATTTAAGAACATCAAGTAATTTCTTATGTTCTTCACATGAATTCTTTAGAAATGAGTTTTCATTTTCCAATTTTAATGTTTTAGCTTTCTCATTTTCTAAAGACATGGTCATGCTAGCAAGTCTACTAACAAGCTCATCATATGAATCAACATGATCAACCACCTTAGCATTTGATACCTTGGTGTCACCTTGTGACATGAAGTAATGTGGTGTAGTGGATGAGCTTGTAGTAGCATCACAATCATGGCCCGAGTATGAACCATCATCACCATCAAGTGTGCATGGGGTAGGATCATCATGTGCATCACTTGAGGCATCACCATCAACCTTATCAAGTGATTTTGTGGTAGCATCATCATCACTTGACCATGAGGTGGAGCAATCTTCCACAATCACCAAATTATGGTCATGCTCAACACACTCATGTGCCTCCACCTTGTGATCATCCTTTTTCTTGAATTTGCCATCACCACTTGTGGAGGAGTCACCATATAAGGCTTGGAGTGCCATCCATATCATGAGCACTCTCCAAATCCCACACACATCTAAAAATATTATCATGTAAAGCACACGTTAGATAATAAAGAGCATGTGTATCAGGTTATAAGCAATCCTCTTGTGCTTGGGTTAGGTTGTCCTTATCCAAAGCATCATGAGAAAAACCAACAACAATGATCCACCATGCCTTAGAATCTAAATCACGAAAATGATCAAGCATATGACGTTTTCACCATACATAGTGTGTGCCATAAAAAATGTGTGTGTCACAAACAATATCTAGCCTAAAGTTCGCCATCTTCTCGGGTCGGTGAAGACCACAAATGAGAGACCTAGCTCCGATACCACGTGTAGGGTCGAGATGGCGGGCTAGAGGGGGGTGAATAGTCCTTTCTAAAATTAATCACGTCGGCTAACCGTAACAAATGCGGAATTAAAATTATCGGCCTAGCCAAGACTACACCCCTCTATCTAAGTTATCAAGCACCTTGAAAAGATTCTAAACAAGCAACTAAGATGTCGGGCTAGTTAGAGCTCACCTAACCAATTCTAGGAGCAAGGTCACATAAACCTATGCCACTAGTACTTCAAGCACGAGGAGCTCCTACACAACTAGTAAGCAAAAGCACAAAGCTCCTCAGCTCACTAGCAATGCTCAATACCAAGACAACTAATGCTAAATTAGAGAGCGCAAATTACTTAGCTATACAAACAAAGCAATGTGACTAACAAGGTTACTAAAACCAAATTAGCACGCAAGGAAGCTACTTTTATGCTACACAAGTAAGAAGGTAACTAGCAAGCTACACAAGCAAACTAATTACAAGAGCTACTACATAAGCGCAATGTATATGAAAGTAAATACAAGCTTGTATAACGGGGATGCAAACCAACAGGAAGACAAGGATGACACAGCGATTTCCCTCCCGAGTTTCACGTGCTTACCAATACGCTAGTCCCCATTGTGTCGACCGCTCACTTAGTGGTTCTGCGGCTAATTGGCATCACCCGCCAAACCCGCACGTCGGACACCGCAAGAACCTACCCACAAGTGAGGGTAACTCAATGACACGCTCTACTAGTGTTGCTCTTCACGGCTCCCGTGGGTGAGCACAATCCCCCTCACAATCACCGCACAATCTTCTTTGCGTGCTTCAACGGAGACCACCACCAAGCCATCTAGGATGTGGCAACCTCCAAGAGTAACAAGCACTACCGGCTTACAACTCGATCATTTAGTGTCACTCAATGCACTCACTCGCAATCGGATGCAACCACTATGTGCACAAGTGAGTTAGAGGCTCTCCTAGCACTCCCTAAGCATGGACACTAAGTCCCAAGGATGCTAAGCCTGTGCCAAGGCCGGCCACACTTCGTTTATAGCACCAAGGGCTAAAATAGTCATTACCCCTTTATCCTGATTTCTACGCATTGATCGGACTCACACTGGACTCACACTAGAGTCCGGTCCAGAGTCCAGTCACGCTGTGTTCGCCACATGTACTAGCCGTTTGAATGTTACCGTTGGGAGCCAACGGCTCCAACGTGCGCAAACGAACTCCACGTCCGGTCGATCGACCAGACTCACCATCACCTAGCGTCCGGGCGCGAACAGAGAGATTCTAGAGAGGTTTTTCATCGACCGGACGCGTCCGTTCAACACTGACCGAACTCGTCGTAGCGTTCACAATAACACTGACCAGACTCTGTGACCGGACCCGCGTCCGGTCCAGAGTCCGGTCACTGACTATTCACGCTAAAACGACCATATCTCATAGCTCTGAACTCCGTTTTTGATGATCTTGGATATTTTGGAAAGCTTATGCCGAGGGCTACACATCCCACATGCATACTTCATCCAAATCACAATGGATCAAAGCAGTATTCCAAATCAAGAACCATCACTCCTCTTTTTCAACTCAAGTTTCTCCAAAACTTCTCTAACTTCTTTTCCGTTGCAAACATGCCAACACCACCAAGTGTACACCATCATGTACAAGTGTGTTAGCATTTTTTCAACTATTTTTTAAAGGAGTTAACCACTCAACTTGCCACGCCACTCGATTCTAGCAACAATACAAAGTTAGATTACTCAAGTGGCACTAGATGACCGATATGCATAGAAGTTTACCTCTCTTGATAGTACAACCATCTATCCTAAATCCGGTTATCAACTTTTCTACACACCTATGATCGGTGAAATAAAATGCCATAGGTTGTATCTTTGCCTTACGCATCCCATTCCATCTTCTCCGGTGTTGGTGCAACACATGCACCAACTATATCACAAATGATATGATCCACCTCATTTCATCACGTGACCTTATTGGTTCGATCTTGACCTTATTTGCTCTTCTCCGTTGCCTTGGTCCATCGACGTCAAGTCCTCACTAGACTTGCCCTTCACACTTGTAACCGGTCTATGAAGCCCAGTCTTGTCTTGATATTCTCCACCTTAGTCACATGACTCAATGTCATATCTCATATGCAATGAGCTCCTTCATCACATGTGTGAGTCTTGCAACAAATCCAAGCCATTTCACCTCCATAGCATGTATTGCTCACACATATGCACCAACACTCAATTACCAAAACTAAACTAGGGACCTTTCAACATGTTAAGCATGTGTTATTCTCATCATCCAAAGACCACATCGAGATATGTGCCATCACAATCAGTAGTGTGAAACATTTTTTTATCTGAACTCAACCTTCCAGTATAAGTTGTAGGATCTGAACTCACGCACTAACACACACACACGCACGCTGTCTACTCACTTACACCCCTAGTGAGCAATCTAGATCTATAATCTATTACCTAGGCTATAAAACACGGTTAAGAGATCTGACAGTTGTGGCACATCCGTGTGAGACAATGAAAATTATTTAGGAAACTACTGTCCCCGGGTGAGACACCGGCGTCGAAATCAGGCTTCGAACGCGAGCGGGCAGGACGCACACCAGCGATCCTAGCCGACTGAGGTACGGCTCAGTTCTCGTAGTGTGAAGCATTAGAGAAAGTAGCGTGAAAAATTGAGAAGAGTGAACATGTCGATCGTATACATGCTGCAATATGTTTTCGTTTGGATCGCGTCGAACGCGCGCCGCAGGTCGCCGCGCCGTAAGTGCAGCACGCCGCAAGTGCCAAACACTCACACGGCACATCGCTAAGGTTTGGCGGCTGCCGCAGCTGCGCCAACTGTCTAGCGGACGATTCGTGCGCCACACTCACGGCGCGGCCACAGCTGTGGCGTTGTGCGGATGTGGCGGGAGGCAAACAAGCTCCTCCCCTTTTCCCGTTCGACGCGTTCCCCAATCGAGCCGAAATCAATTCAAGATCCCAATCCGTATCCTCCCTTTCCCTCCCCCTCCCCCTCCTCCGAGCGTAACCGGCGGCGATCCAAGATGCCGGCGACGGCGGGGCGCGTTCGCATGCCCGCGAACAACCGCGTGCACAGCAGCGCGGCGTTGCAGACGCACGGCATCTGGCAGAGCGCCATCGGATACGACCCCTACGCGCCCGAGAACAACAAGCAACAGCCGGGCCGCCCCTCCTCCTCCGTCTCCGCCAACGCCGCCGCCGCAGCCGCCAACGACGCCAACGCAGCCGCCAGCGCCGCAGCAGATTCCGGATCCGGCTCGGGCGATGGCAACGCCTACACCAGCTTCCAGGGCCTCCTCGCGCTCGCCCGCATCACCGGCTCCAACTCCGATGAGACACGCGGCGCCTGTAAGAAGTGCGGCCGCGTTGGCCACCTCACCTTCCAGTGCCGCAACTTCCTCTCCGTCAAGGACCTGGACCTGGACGACGCCGACGCCCAGGCCGCCGCACAGGCGGCCGCGCAGGCCAAGTTCGACGAGATAAAAAAAGAAGGCTGCTGCCGGTGGGGACGCAGATGAGGCTTCTGATGATGTGGAAGAGGAGGACGAGGACAGTGATTCCTCTGATTCAGACATCGACCCTGAGCTGGAGAAGATAATTGCTCAGCGCGAGCGCGCCAGGAATGGGGGAAGGAGGCCCAGGCAGGAAGAGAAGTCGTCAAGCCACCGCTATAGGAGCAGCAGCAGCAAGAGAAAATCAAAGCACACAAGGAGTAGGAGTGATGATAGTGAGGAGGAAGAGGAGGAAGGCAGAAGAGGCAGGGACAGGAAGAAGAGGTCCAACAGATCGAAGAAGCATGGAAGATCAGATGAGGATAGCAGCGACAATAGTGGCTCTGATAGGCAGAGGCACAGGAAGAGCAGGAAGGACAGGAAGAGGAGGAGGAGCCACCGCAGGAGCGAGGACTCATTGGATGAGAAGGATGTGTCTGGAGGTGAAGAAAGGAGGCATCGGAGGGATGCATCTGACTGTGACAATGGTGGCAGTGATTTTGCAGATGACAAGAATCAATCCAGCAGGCAGAGGAGGCACCGCCGGTCAGAAAGCAGTGGGTCCGATGAGGATGAGCGACATGACCATCGGGGAGCAAAGCGATCTGGGGAGAAGAACAGGGACCGCAAGAGGAGCTAAAGAGGAGCATTGACTTCGTAATCCTATTCGACGATGTTATTGAGTTCCTCTATTTATCAGCTGGGCCGTTGCCTTGTAAGTTTGAAACATTTGAAGCATGATGCTTAACATGTGTAACAATATAATAACATGTTGGTGTATTACTGTGTATCTGTCTGAAATATGCTTCGAGCCTATTATGCGTTCATGATTTGATAATCGAGGATTTTTTTTAATATGGTGCGTTCAGTTAGCCTTTCCCCTCAATAATACTGCATGAGATAATTAGCATAGGGTATTCTTTTTTAAACCAAACATAGGGTAATTCTAGGAGACCTACATATCACAATATTACAAAGTTACAGATTGAGTGATTGACCTACCCCTCTTTCTGAATGTTGCTTAATGGCCCTTTGCCTTCTGTAACTGAACAGGTACGCCAGATTCACAGGAGAATACGTGTTGTCCGTTTAGTCACAACAAATGACAGTCAGCGAATCGTTGGACTGCTGATTCCAAATTCAGCAGTGGAGTCAGTACTAACAGGTTTGTTTCTGATGTCCCAGCGATCCTCTCATAATCTCAAGAGTATTAGTTGTGGTCAGAACCCAACAGGGACGATTTGTAGCCGTCTTAAGAAAATTGATTTTGTTGACTATTGTAGCTACTTGGAAGCTGGGAGGTTTAATTGTATGATGCTGCCCTGTATCTACAATATGTGCTAACTTCTAATGCTCAACCTCCATTCCTCATTTTTATTTTGGCACGCATAAGCTCAATTCAAATGCTGTCTTCTGCGGTTTTGCAATGGGTCCAGGACATTGATGACTGACATGGAAAGGCTTGAATTTTGTTTCTCATCCGCATTCATTTTACTGGGTTTTTTAAAAACTTTTTAACACTGTTCTGATGTTAGATGCAGCAGCATTTAGAGCCTCTGCACATTTGATTTTGTTTCTAAGGAGATATCAAGGTAACTTACCCGAAGCGATGAAATTCTTAGCTTACAGGTCAGGCGGGTATATACAGACAATTTTTGTATGAATGCACGGTGCGGTACCGCTGTTGTTTTCCTCCTTTGTTCTCTAGCCATGTAATAAAGCTACTAAAAAAAGCTCAGGTTAACCTCAAAGAAAGTCGGACCTCACAATCTGGTGTTGCCATAGTGTTTCCTGTGGAGTTACTGCTGATGCCGAACTGAATAGTACAAGAAAAACTGAGGCGTATTTAGCCAAATCATGTACGTCTTTATGTCCAGTGATAACTGACAAGATGTGTCCAGTTTGACTCTGTTGTTGATGGTGGTGGAGTGTTGGACTGATCTTTGACGCTCGGCTTGATCCTTTCTGAAAAATAATGACGTTTGATGATGCATTTTTTATTTTAGATGTATAATAAAGGGTTTATAGAAAATTATGCATGACGCTTGTGACTACGCTGAGGGGAGAGAAAATAAGACGAGCGCAAGGAATGACAATACATCGTATCATTGTATGAGTAATGGCTCTAGATGACAATCCATCACTGGCTGTACTACTATTACTCTTTACTCCTGTTAGCCATGCACTATGGTCAAGGTCAAGGTGTACAGCATGATAGCTATGCATACGAGAAGTCCAGAGGATGCACGTAAGTCTAAGTCCCTGTTCGCGTGAACCTACTAGCCGTACCGTTTCAGCGAAATAATAGTATTTTTCTTTCACAACAAATCAGCATCAGCATCGGCTGTTTTTCCAGCTAGCCGAACAACATACAAATACACAATCACTTGAGATGGGAGAGAACTTTGTGCCAGAAGCTTCACGAGTTGTTCTTGACGAAAGGATAGGGAAATATGGTTTGGAACTTGCGGCCAATCGTGGGGAGAGATCACCAGAAATCGCAAGCCACGAATTGCGGTTGTGCGAAGTCATTGTACTGGTGGCTTGTGCTGCTAACGAAAAAAATAAAATCTTATCCAACCTTAGCTAGCCCATCATTATTCGATGTTGGATTCTCCAGGTGGTGTGTCAGTGCGACGACCTTGACATGCTGGCCCGTCACTCGCGCCTACGCCACTTCTGGGTAATCAGACAACGCACTCGCCAACTACTACTCGCTAATCAAACGGCGGCCACTACGACTACGAGACTAAAAAAGTTGAAACACCACTCACACAAGTCGAAGCACGTATGACGTATCCTAGATAGGAACACTCCATATCACCGATGTATGCAAGGGAAACTTAAACAAAACAAAAAAAGCAAGAGAGTAAAAAACAAATTGCAGCTCGACTAATCATCTTTGCTTGTTTCATAATGTCGACCTCTAAATATCCAACCTCCATCGAACACCAACACTGCATGTACAATAGCTGTTGTGCCGAAGCACAACAAATGATGACACATGGAAGCTTTAAGTTTGCCAAAGGCTATGTTTGGTTGAGTTGTTTGTGGTTGTGAAAAAAGTCTTATGAACAATTTAATAACCACAAAAGGCACCATATATGCTACGTAGCTATATACTTCTCTATTTTAAGTTATAAGACGTTTTGACTTTTCTAAATATGTTGCTTTTACTATAAAGGAGGCATCCGAGCAAGCTGGCGGGTCACATGCATAGTGGTGCAAGGCAAAGGCAGCCATCAGACTCGATGACGACGCTGCAACCTTCATAGCTGTTGTTCCCTCTTTTGGACTTCAGAGACAATGCTCCCTCCGTCCAAAAATAAGTGCATACTTTGAAAAGTCAATTAATCTTAAGTTTAACTAAATATATAAAAAATACTATTTTTATTGTACCAAATAAATATCATGAGATTAATCATGCCATATATTTTTATAGTAAACATATTTACAAATGTTAATAATAAGAACAGCTCCAGCAAAAGACCTCAAATCAAGGTCCCTACTTTTAAGCCCTGTTGTCTTGATTGCACTCCAACAACAGCTCTCAAAACTAGGCTCCTATTTCTCAATTTCTACTATTTTCTTCACTATCTATGCATATGTATTGGACAAAAGCACAATAGACAATAAAATATTTATGATTTTGAGTAACAATATTAAATCTACAAATTCAAATACAAATATTTAAACTTGTTCTAAATTTAAATTGAAAGCACAAAGTTCATGACATAACATCAAATAAATTGCTATAGTCCATCATAATATGTCAAATAAAGTCTACGATGCGCAGGTTCCCACCATGCATGTCTCACGGTGCCACTTGACGACTAGGCATCGAACCACGCCGAGCCTTCTTGCGTTCCCTTTCTTCAGCATCAGCAAGAATGAGCATAGCCACAACCAAATCATCATCATCATCATCTGATTCCTCTTTCTCCCACCATTGCTCAAAAAAATCATCATCATCATCGATAAACACCATCTGCAGTAAAGGAAATAATAAGATCCATGAACAGCATAATATTTTTAAAAAGGAACACATATATAGCCCTCATTGCTAACACATATGCCTTTACATTGGAGTCCAATGTGTTGACATCAGAAAAAATAATCTTCTGTTCTTGCTCCCACATCAACTTCCATTCCTTAATAGCAACCTTGCGCTCCTCAATCGATGCCTTGCGCTCTTGCATCTTCTTCTTCTCCTGCCATCTAGCTTCTCTAATTTTTTCCTTTTCAATAAGAAATCTCTCAAGCATCCCTGCATACTTATATTCTTCCCCTCCCTTTTTCACCTTCCCCTTTGCTTGCTTCCTCCCCATAGGCCTTTTCGCACTACACAAGGATGAGTCAGGAGTTTGGTTCTTGCCACTATCATTATCTTCTTGATCAAGAACATCAATTGGGTTTGAGTTGCTTGTTCTAGGCCTTTTGGAGGACGGAACAGCTGTGAACTTGGCGCAATTCCTAACCTTCAACCAACAATGATTGAAAGTGAAACCCTTCTTGTTTGGCTCCTTGTCTGCATATATAGTTTGTGCTTCTAGCACCTGAAAGCAAAGACATGTGTGAGTCAGCATGTTTGATATATTAATGAATTGATCCATGCCTAACCTTCAATACGAAAGGATTTCTTACATGTTCCTGGAAAGACACACCACTAGGATGGCGACGCTCAACTTCCTCAAAATAACCCTGAAACTTCTGCACCTCCTTGTAAATTATGCCCCACCGACGCTCAAGAGAGTTGGCAGTCCTAGTAGATTCAAATTTCTTGTTGGCATGGTAGTTATCATGAATTCGCTTCCAATAAGATTTACCAGGTTGCTCATTTCCAGTGATAGGATCCGTGCTAATATTCCCCCATGACTCACATAGCCGGATTTCCTCTTGCGGAGAGTAGTTGGCAGCACGGCTTGCCTTCATTTTGGATGCACTAGGTTCACTACCAATTGGTTAAGCACAAATTGACGAAATGTCAATATCACCAATCTCAATGTTCTCGGACATCATCCTTGACCCCTGACTTCCTTTCGACATATCTCAAGCTGTGGAAACCACAATCAAGAAAAAAAACAGCACATAAATGAACTATTCAGATCCAATCTCACTGAGTTCTAATATCTCAAGTACATATATTTCATTCCATGTCGCTACAAATATGTCAGCAATGCAAATGCAATAATATCTTATAAATAAAAAAATAAATTTCAACCAATATTGCATTCCCAAATGATAGCACCGAATATTTTATTGGATTTCATTTTGGCATCAAGGGTTCCATATACATCTACTATGATCTCCATCAAAACCAGCAAAAAAGACAAACTACAGGAAGAAGCTGATAGCTGAAGATGAGGACCGCACGTGGAGGATCGGACCTGAACTTCTGCGCAACAGGGATCCCTGTATCTCTCTTGCTCTGCTTTCCAAGCCTGTACTTCTGCGCAACAGGGATGAGGCCTGGGAGCACGAATCAGCACCAGGCAAAGAGATACACGCACAACATTTACACATGAATTTGCAGAGAAGAGATCGGAGCAGCTGGTACCTGCAGATGAGGACCACACGTGGGGGATCGAACCTGGAGCACGCGGGGGAGCTGAGGACCTGGAGCACACGGAGACGGACGAC